TAAAGATAGAGCTAGTACTCCTGGGTGTGCTTCTTGTCTGGACTACCTCGCAAGGCTGACAGCATCTACAGTTTGGCCCCTTTACAAAACACAAATCTGGGCCTGCCCAGTGCCTCCCTTCCTCTGGTAAGAAAAGGGGATGGATGTGAGCAATACCTCTCATAATGTCGCCGGGTGCAAGTGGCAGCGCTGGTACTTCCCGGGCTGCCTCCCAACATGTCGTAAACATTTTTCCAAAGACGTCTTCCAGTGACCTGAAATAAAGGTAAAATAAAGTCTTTCTCAGGTCAACCTAAGTTCTTTTTCAACTTCCTAATCTGGTCTATATTTCTGAGATTTCCTAGTGGTCTCCTTTTTGAGTCCTAGCCAGATCCAACTCAAGTCGGTTTTTTGAACAGCACCAGTCTCCCTTGGCTGGGCTTGACTCCCAGTGACCTCATGGACACATCCAATGGAAAATGTTTTGCTCTTCTTTCGGAATTTTTTTTCTCTTCCATTTCTCCATTTAGTCTACAACCCTGTTTTTTGGGGGTCTCTAAGATTTAAACTTAAGATTTAAATCTAAGATTTAACCATGTTGGAGTATATTTCAAGATCAGCCAAGGACAGCGGGCGGATGAATGAAAATTGAAAATGGGAAACTGAGAAAACACTCTTAAGAGAGAGAGAGAGAGAGATGTTTAGACAGACACCCCAAATAAATTTTCAAATTCGATAAGCAGAATAAAATGCAAAACAGATAACAAAGGAAAGCTAATTAAAAAGACACTTCATAAAATATGCCGGGGAAGTCTGAGAGCACTTCCATATTGCCATCTTATCCCCCTACATACACCCCATTGCCGAGGAGAATAAAATGCCCAATTTTTTAGGTTTTAAATGTCACAGGTAGCCATAAAGTTGCTCTGAGACCACCAAGGGGCTCCCCTTGAGCATCGTGGCCCATCCACCCCAGTCTGCTCTCTACAAAGGATCCAAAGTTCAGAGGGAAAGCCCAGTGCAGCTACGCACAGACCTCTTTTTAATGCATACATTATTCCACAAAGTGCCCCTCGCAGCAGCATAAAAACCAACTCTTTGTAACGTTCTTCCTGTTGCGCAGAAGGGGAAACTTTAATTAAAAATCATGTCCTGCTCTGCCAAGAAGTCCTCAAGACGTTTCATCCCCCTTTCCAAGCAGTGAAGTTGACTTGCTCTTTCTTACCAATTCGTAGGCTCCGAGTTTCTCCACAGCTTTGTAGATCTTAAACAGATTAACTATTAAAAAGAAAAAAAAAGACAGAAAAATATCAGATTACAGCCAGGAATCAGAGAGGCAAGACATAATGTATGTTTTGGGTTGAAACGTTTAACTTGTGAACTGCCTGGAGCGGCTGGGAATTGGGCAGTATACGCATTTAATTAATCAAATAAGTAAATAAATAAAAACCAGGCTGTCCTCAAAGCTATTATTCTGTGGAATTGAGAACTGGGTATTGATGTGGCCCAATTTCTGAAAATCAGCATTTTTTATTGAAGCAAACTTCTACTGACCACGACTGAATAGCTATGCTTGAAACAGGGGTGTTCACAGGGAGGTCCAAAAGATATAGGCCTTGCACCCTGAATGTACAAAGGGTGGGGCTTCAGTCACATGGTTGTAGCCACTATCCTGGCTTTTTTGAGCCCCCCCTCTGGTGGGTGGGTGGATGGAGAGAGAGATGGATGACAGATAGATAGATAGATAGATAGATAGATAGATAGATAGATAGATAGATAGATAGATAGATAG